CATATCCCCAACCCGACAAGCAGTTGTGCAAACACCCCCAACCAAAGTGGGCGATGTGGTTGAGGCCCTTCTTGAGGCGGAGGCTGAGCAGCCGAGTGGCAGGATCATGAGTTGGAGAGCGGTGACGACGCTCAATACGATCTTCCGTGGGAGGTGTGGGTCTGTGTCCTCTCCTCCATGGACGACCCGCGTGACCTCTGCTCATTTGGTCTTGCCTGTCGCCTCTTTCAGGCCATCACCCAAACGTACTCCCGCTCCCATCCAATTGCAATGCAAACCAGTTCTTAACTCTTCATGCTCACCACCCCGACTTGCTGCGCTCGCAGGGGAATGGTGTGGCGGCAGCTGCTGGGCTCGACCTATGGATGGGTCTTTGACCAGTGGCAAGCCCACATGGACCTCAAGCAGCTGGGGTGGAGGGACGCCTATCGCGTGTGCCGCAAAACCGCCTGCGCTCGCGTCAACGTGAGGCGTCTCTTTCAGAAAGGGTGCGCCGGCTTGCTTGTGCGCGTGGATGCGTGGATGGTCTTGAGCGATCCGCAGAGTGCTGACTGCATGTGTATAGGGAGTCCAGGGCATGCTCCACCAATTCGGTACTCAACCTGGGCACTCCGTTCGGCTGCTTCGCTGTGGACTGCACGGAAGTGGTGAACGATCCTGGTACGGCGCTTTGTTGTCTCGGTTGGCTGACCATGCATACGGACTCACCTGTCAACTCGCAGACCTGGTGGCCGTTCATCCTCAAGCCAATGGGCGAGCAAACAACATCGAGCTGTGGGAAAAGCACGGCGACCAGGCGGCTCTTGAATGTACCTGCCTGCCGCTTGATCTGTCTGGGCAGCTGAACTGATTGGCGCTCTCTGCAGTGTCTGGAATGCCAAAGAGTGGCCAGTCGCAGGTAGGGCAGGTGGCCAAGCTGGAGGGAGGAAGCAAGGCGCACGGACGTAACAAATTCTGGGTGAGAACCAAGAGCTTGGTGGGCCACACAAGGCAAGTTCGAGTCTTGCAGATGTTTCAAGGAAAGACCAGGCTTGCGTCTGGTTCCAATGACGCGTACGCCACCTCCTGAGCCAGAGTGCGGCCGGTCTCTGAGACACTGATTGAAAGATGGTGTGATCACAGGTCGATCAAGCTGTGGGATCTCAAGGGTGAAAGCAACAAGTGCATGACTACCCTTCATGGGCACTCACATGAAGTAACTTCTGTGCAGATCAACAACTACCTCCTCGTACTGCCCCTTTGCTCCCCTGGTGTCTGCTCTCCTATGAACTAATTCTAATTGTCCTCATTGGTGCCAGGTGAGTGGATCAGAGGATCGAACTGTGGGCTTGTGGGACATCGCCAAGGAGCAGCAGGTCCACTCGTTTCAAGGCCACTCCCACTTTGTAACCGGTACCAACCAAGCCAACTACTTGAGACTCCTTTGCACTGTTCTAACCGGCCACATTCAGATGTGGCGATCAACCGCTCTGGCACGCTCCTGTTAAGCGGGTCCTGGGACAATACCATCCGCTTGTGGGACCCTCGCAGTGGCGAATGCAACTACGTCCTCGAGATGCGTACGCTGTTGTATTAAGTGACCACTCCATGCTGCCCCGACATTGACTCTGTCCCACCAATCAACAGAGTGTTCGGTGGATTCGGTGGCCCTCAACTCATCGGAAGAGCGCGTCTACTTTGGACCTGTCAACCTCAGCCACCTTAAGTACGGCATTGCTGAGTTGTACTTTGACTTTGCACTTGATTGTTGTGAGAGACTGACCTCCTTTGGTCAGACAAGCGCCCTGTTGGGTGGATCTCCGCAAGGTGGAGTCCACGGTGCGATCGAGGCTGGAGAACCTGTGTCGCTACGCCACTTCACCCAAGGTGGCGATGATGCCCATCTCCCTGTTTGATAGAGTTGACGTCCTCTACACCAGTACGTGCTCCACCTACAGTGTAAAGCGGGCCACCACTTGATTGCTCATGATCTCCCTTCTCACGGCTCATCGTCAGGTGGACTTGTCTTCAAGTTCGACTGCAGCGGCAAGCGCGAGCTTGTCGACCCACCGGCCCGTTTGGGGTACAGGGACCACCAAAAGCAGTGGCAATGGATCTCTGCCTCGGCCGGGGCGTGCTGGACTGCATCCGGCGTGATCGTCTCGGGCGGACAGGGCAAGCTGTTTTTCGCAGACCCGACCTGTGCGCCCGAGGCGCCCTGGAGCAACGACGAGGCGCGAGCCGGCCTGGCCGGAAGTGTCACTAAGGGCCTGCACCTGCGCGATCTTCGCCAGCCCACGCCAGAGGAGGTGGCGCACGATGTGGCGATGATCAAGCTGCAGATGCGGGAAAGCAAGCGGCGTGAGATAGAGGCCAGAGGCAAGCAGAGCGTCCAACAACGACGGCCGAGCAAGCTCAGGCCGTGAGGTCGCGCACAGGCAGAGCTGATGTGTGTGTTAGTGACACAGTGGCCACCACAATGAAGGAGACGCACACAACATTCCTGACTGTCGTGCAGTCAAGAATTCTAGTCGGCGTATTCTGCCCCCCCCCTTTGCAGATAGGTCGCGTGAGTTTTTCTGCAGATCCCTGGTTAGTCGAAGAAGAAGAAAAAGATGAAGTGCTCTGGCTTCCTGGCTTTCCTCGTACTGACGTCCTGCCTCTTCCTTTCTGCACATGCAGCTTCATCTGGTACTTCGGCTGCCAAAATTTAATCATTCGCCCTTGCCATTCAAACAAATCAAAAGGTTCTTAATGATTTCTCTCCCACCCCCATCTTTGTTGCCACAGAGGAAGGTGAGGTGGTGATGCGCGCGGCGGTCATGCCGAGCCTCGATGCACGTGACATGAAGAGCCTTGCTGCGCAGGCCAACAAGACGATCTGTGGTGCCCGCCTGGGTTGCAGCAACTGCACCGACGACGACTCGTGCGTGTGGTGCGAGAGCGACAACCTCTGCAAGAACGGCACCTGGTACGGTCCCGATGGCGAAATCATCAAGGGCTGCAGCGACTGGAGGTGGAAGCAGTGCAAGGGTCCGCCTCTCCTCCTCCTCTTGTGTCTGTCATGTAGTGTAACCGTCCCATCGTGGTCTCACACGCTGGGTCGCGCAGTGAATGGTAAGGCCGTGTTCTGGTCGGCCGTGGGTATCGCTGCGCTCATTGTGCTCCTCGTCCTTGTTGGCGGAGCGTGCTGCTGCTATTGCTGCTGCTGCCGGCGCAAGACCTACCAGCGGTACTACGACGTCGAAGATCTCCGTGGTATGTGTTACCGTAATCGTCCTTTTCTCCTCTATTTACCTGTCAGCTGCCCAGTCTGACTCATCCCCAACGCAACACGACGCACGACAACAGCCAAGGAAAGGGAGGAGAGGAGGCGAGAAGGTGAGGCCAGGCGCAACGCCATGTACGATAAGTATGGCACTCCAGGTACCGTCGCTTACATAACTCTCGCACACACACGCACATTCACCACCAGCACTCGCACGCGTCATCACACTTGTCGTAGTGCTGACGCTGGCCTTTCAACCGTGCAGAGGAGAGGGCTCGGATGCAACTGGACGAGTACAACAGAAAGTCCTACTACTCGCCCGTCACGGGCCAG